AATAAAGTAAAGCCCTGGTGGGAAGACAGGCCCCAGAAAGCTGGTTAATATTCAAGAATCACCTCCGCCAAGCTCAGGAGCAAATGCATCCCAGCTAAAAGGAAGTCAGACAAAAATAACAGGAGGCCTTTGTGGATGAACAAGTAGCTCCTGGGCAAACTCAAACAAAAGAGAGCTAACAGAGGTGGAAGCAAGGACAGGCAGCCTGGGAGGAATACAGAGAAGACAGGCCCCAGAAAGCTGGTTAATATTCAAGAATCACCTCCGCCAAGCTCAGGAGCAAATGCATCCCAGCTAAAAGGAAGTCAGACAAAAATAACAGGAGGCCTTTGTGGATGAACAAGTAGCTCCTGGGCAAACTCAAACAAAAGAGAGCTAACAGAGGTGGAAGCAAGGACAGGCAGCCTGGGAGGAATACAGAGAAAGCACCCAGCCTGCCTCATGCTTGCTTGATTTCTTACTGGTGTCTTGTTTTGCTCTGAACCCACCTATATTTCAAAGCACCACCACCCAATGAAATGCTTTGCTATGAAAGCCCAGGCTTTTATCATGGCCTTATTGTTTATGCATCCCAGTGGGAATAAGAACCGAAAAGCCAAAGGTTATGAAGTTACTTTGAAAGTGATACAAATTACAAAATATCCTCATTTACAACTACAGTATTTAAATCCCATTTGCGATCGCACAATCAATAGGATCCAACTGTTGATGTACAGGAAGGAATTCTTACTAATATAAGTAAGATACACTGGTCTTTTTCAGCCTTTTTCAAAAGTTTTCCTTCCTTAAAAACACACACAAGTGAGTGCATAGTCCAAGGTAGCTGAATATGAAATCTTCTGCCTGTTGCCTAAAAAGATTTCCTTCCCCCAGTAAAGAGAGCTTCCAGGTCTGCACTTATGGCATCATCAGGAATTACATCATCCTCCACGAACTCATCTCCAAGTTTCTTCCACCATGGCCAGCGAGTGTGTTTCAGCATAGTGTTGTGAGATTGTCTTGCCTTGGTAGCTACAGGGATTGATCGACTCCTAAAGACACCAAGATCTTTTTCTGTGGTCTCTGCTAACCCTGGAGCATCTGTAAGAACAATGTGAAGAGTTTTTCTGTAATTTTTGTGGTTTTATAAGTATTTCAAACAAAAAAAGAAGAAGTACTACCCTCCCACTTCCCACTGTCCTAGGTCACTCCTTTCCCCATGCTAGCACTGCAATTTTATGACTGCATGATAAATCTGGTTGGAGAGGTAATCCAAAGACAGGCTAATCTGAAGAAATAAATACATAATGGAGTAGAAAGAAAGATGGGGAAAGCAGTACTACTTCTTTCAGGTGCATTCATGGCATCCACCTGTTGTGGTTTAATTCCAGCAGCCTCACTCACTCCCCCACCAATGGGATGGGGGACAGAATCAGAAGGGTAAAAGCTACAAAAACTCATGGGTTGAGATAAAGACAGTTTAACAGAGAAAGCAAAAGCTGCACACACAAGCAAAGCAAAACAAGGAATTCATTCACTGCTTCCCACGGGCAGGAAGTGTTCAGCCATCTCCAGGAGAGCAGGGCCCATCACGCGTAACGGTTCCTTGGGAAGACAAACACCATCACTCCAGATGTTCCCCCTTCCTCCTCCTTCCTGCCACCTTAAATACTGAGCATGATGTCCTATGGTATGGAATATCCCTTTGGTCAGTTTGGGTCACCTGTCCCAGCTGTGTCTCCTCCCAGTCTCCCATGCATCCCCAACTCCCTTGCCAGTGTGGCAGTATGGGAAGCAGAAAAGGCCTTGGCTCTGTGTGAGCTCTGCTCAGTAATAACAAATACATCTCTGCATTATCAACCCTGTGCCCTGCACAAATCCTAAACATAGCCCCATACTAGCCACTGTGAAGAAAGTTAACTCCACTTCAGCCCAAACCAGCACTCCACCAAAATGACTTCTTGTGGAAGTATGACCTAAGAGGATCTCCTGGTCACTAACGCCAGATCAGCGCTCCAGGCCCAGGGTGACATCTGAGTAGTGTTTCCACTGCTCTGGCACAGCACCACTGCAAATTCCCTGCCTGGAGGAGCCACCATAGGGTAAGTGTGTTGCTGATTTGCCTGCTCAGGGAGTGATGAGCTGCAGTGACACAGCACGTGACAGACTAAATAATGGAATTCAGTGACTTGCTGAATTCTGCCCAGCTTGGGTGCTCTCTGGTGGCTGCAGTTTGCTATTCTCAGTCTTTCACTCTAGTCCATTTGTCTAGAATTAAGGTAGCACAATAGTGAATTCCATTTCAAATAGAGCCAGACCAGAGAAAATGAAAATATGACTCAGAATTCAGAGCTCACAGATTTCCCTCTTTATCTGGAAGGGATGAGAGTGCTTCAACCAGCAGCTTACTTACAACACAAGAAAATACAACAAAGCAAAACAAATGTAGAGGAAGAGGCTGTATGAGAATCCCTGCTTAGAAACTGTAATGCCTTTTAGAGGGCTATTGCTTTTCTTGTGAACATATCAGAGAGAGACTTTTAGCAGAAGAATAAGATGCTCCTTGAAAAGCAGGTGTGTAAATTTAACCTGCAGCAACTCTTGGATAATCTCTAACAAAGCCTGAATCTCAAGATAAGGCATATGGCAAAGGAAGAAAGATATTTCGGGTCTGAAATGAGGCTTTACCACTGTTCACTCTAATTTTCTCTCGAAATTGCTTTAATCCAATGGTAATCAAAACCATGATCACAGCAGTCACATACTCATTAGCAGCTCCACATCGGTGTTGACCTGAGCCAGTAATGTCTCTCTCCTCTGTGCTGCTCTCTGATCCAGCCTGCTCCTCAACAGGAACTGTGCCAGCTTTTCCTGAGCCTGCATATGCAATTCTTTACTCATTTCTTCTGACATTTGGGAAGCCTGGAGGAAAATAACAGTTTATTTCCATTAGGAGCTGGTTATTTTAAATCTTTTGGGGGCAGAATAATGCCTAAACAAGGAATGCAAACGATGTTCTTAATTGTAAACTCAATAATTTTGCTTCCTCTGCAGCTGTCTGCAAAAGTTTTCCATCATCAAGTATATAAATTTTCCAATTACAGTTTGCTCTGACGCTTTTTATTAGATTAATGGTTAACATCTTTAATATCCTAGTGCCTTGCTGTCAAACAGGCAGGGTTAACACATCCATACCTCACATGGATTATCTTGATCAGAATTTATGAAGCTACAGTATTTTATGTTGCATCATTAATGCAAATTATGAAATGACTAAGAAACAGACCGGATGCAATTTGATGTAGTCATCCACCTTCTGCTGCAAAGCTAGTCTCTGCTCATCAGTCAGTCCCTTGGGTTCTTTCCAAAGACAGAGAGGTCTCCTCCTTCTTCGTTTTTCCAAGAATTTACAAGCCTTTGTAATGAACAGATGAGAATATGACAATCAGAGACAGGAAGTTTGTCTTCTTGATTTGTTTATAATCAATTAGAGAAAGAAAAATGTTCCAGTACTGCAAGCCTGAGTGCAGCTATGATGCTGCAAAGACAACACACAATGGTCAGCGTGAATACTAAGTAGTAAGAACACTCCTAGTAAGTTACTGACACATCTGTAGCGTGGTGAGATTCCAACCTTAGATTTCAAAGTAGCAGCTGTTACATGTTAGTTACAAGACTGTATCAGGCTTTTCAACCTATGCAAGGTTTAACACATCTAAGCAACTTGTAGCTCTAGACTATCATCCTCTGAGTAATTTTGTAATAAATTCTGGCTACATTAACAGTAAGAGTATCAACAAAGTTTTTTGAGGCATCACAATAATCCATTCAGTCCTATCTAATGCTAGAACAAAGTATATACACTTACTGCTCTCTGAATGATGACAGCAGCTTTGTACTCCTTAAGAGATTGTTTCTGTTGATGAAAAATTCTTCTTGCTCTATACCCTCGCCAGAATCTCTGGATAGTTAATGCTGATTTCTCCTCCATTTCCTCCATGTATTTATTTACCTGACCTACAAATGTAACAAAAATCCAGTTACAAGACTGTGGGTTAGGATCCCTTAGCAATTTACATTGCTAATCCTCAAACTAGAGGAGTGGTCTTAGTTAAAACCCCTCTTCCCCTACAGCCTGCTAGCTGTAGGCTCTGTCTCTCAGACTTGTAGCTGCAACAGAGCTTTGTAACACAGAAAAACCATCTCTCCCTTTCTCCTGCACCATTCTGAAGGCAGCAGATCTTGATCAGTAGTTATCGAGCCCTGGGGGAATAGCATGTTCTCTTTAAGATAATTGGGTCAGGAGTAGAGACAGTAAGACTGCAGTGCAAACAGACATGCAAGATTAGGAATTATATTTGGGGAAACTGTTCCTAAGGAGTCTCAGACAGTTGAATCTTCTGCTATAGTTTGATATAAATCATACTGGCATGGATTGTTTCCAGTACAGCCAGCTGTCGTTCATGGAAGAGTCTCATGGCCCTCTGTCTCTGAAGTTGCATTTGCAGTTTTAGAGCCTCATCTTCCTTCTGCTTTGTTAAATGCTGCAGCTCCTGCTCGCGTTTAGCTCTGCAATACACAAATACATTAACAATTACCTTAAGTTGTATGTTTTTTCAGAGAATCTCTCTTTGTATTGAATGATCCAGCACTGGGAAAGGAAATCCACAAAACAATCTGCTAGCCCAGCTGTTGGCTGCGGAGCCACACCAAGCAATGAGAAGTCACCTGCAAACTAACAAATTACCACACTGTCTATAGCCATGAAACACTCCAAGCCAGTCTATGAAATCACAGGATAAATTTGTACTTAGGTTAAAATTCTAAGGACCCTGAAGGGAACAATGCTCTATGTGGGACATTTGCAGCCAGCACAAACTGGAACAATTTTCATTCCACCATCTGGGGAAGAGGTAAAGCAACGTTAGCCATCTGCTCCAGTAGGCACCTTTTCCTGTCCATCCATCAGATGCATGGCACCTGCTTCCCACAATACCTCCTATTATCTTTGTACTGTCTGCAAGAGTAGGTCAGAACATCAGCTGTCGAGCCTTACTTCTCACATTTGGAGGGGTTTTTTTTCCTCAGGGAAATGCAGAATGATTTTCTTCATCAACTTTATTAACAGAACACTAGGAAATAATTTTCTTGCAAATTCATCCTGATCTGTTCTAGACTTGATGTTAGGATGTTGTCCTGCTGGGTCTGGCATTGGAAAAGCCCCAGATGTTTCACAGAGGAGACAAATGAAAACTCTGTAACTGGCCCTGGAGTGTATATCAGTTATATATATGCTAACATATTGATATACAGACTAGTTACAAATACTAAATATGCTGCTGTATCAATACAAATAATTACTGAGAGCACTTGGCCACAGTCTCAGTGAAGTATGAGGAGGTGTGAGCTAGGGCTCCCTCCACTCCCTTCACTGCCCCTTCTCATCCCAAAGGATCTGACCTCATCACCAGCCCAAGACTTTGTGAGTTTACCCCACAAAGAGGTAACGATGTGACTTCTCTGTTCCTATTGCAGCTAAATCACTTGCCCACTCAAGGACTGAGTACCCCCACTGGGCCCACAGCCCTGAGGTCTGCTCTCCTCTAGCACTTTTCCAGGGACAATGAAAGAAGCACTTGAAGCACTAGGAAGGAAAACCAATAGACACAGCACAGGTGTAAAGGGTGCCAGAAAGCAGAAAGAAGTCCATAGACTAGAACTGATGTCACATGCCTTTAGACTCTCAGTACTACTGAGTTGAGTGTTTCCCATTACTAGTATAAATTGAGTTGTAATTTTTCCACCAACCAT